ATGCCACAATATGGGATGGATCTAGCTGGGCTACTTCTGGTGGAAAGTATAAAGTAAATTACAAATATGCTCCTTACACTGCAGAGCTCTCCAACTTTGTTCTTCATGGCTGTGCAGTTGATCCTATAGAGCTTTCGTCGGTTAAATGCGGCAGGGTGTCGGAAATTCCCTCCTTCCGAACCAGTATCACATCTGAGAAAAGGGCTAAAATGGTGAACTTCCGGAGGAAGAACATGCAGTATTCGTACTGCTATGATCGCGCTCGGTATAATGTACCCCCGCCAGAATGTTCCCTTGACCCTAAAGAGGCCGAGCAGCTCAGACGCTTTGACCCGGTGAGGTTTGGTGGCGTCCATCGCCACCGTGGCAAGCGCCACCACCGCCACAGTACCAGAGGTAGCAGGGATAATGGATTGTCCTCCGTTTGAGAAGTCCTATGGTTTAGTAGCTACATTGATCATTATTTTTATGCGTACCTTGGATTTAATTTGGAGTACATTTAAGGCTCTTTGCATTTGTGTATAGTGAATATAATACAGCACATAAGATCACAGTTTCGTTTATGTGGGCACTAGGAATTTTGACTTTATTGGTCATAAATGGGATGTGTACTTATTCCTTGTACTACGTATCAGCTATAATGTCGCCCCAGCCAGGTTAATATTGTTGTCATCTTGGGTTTATAAATTTAATTACTTGTCATTTTTGTACCGCATTATCTCAGTGTCGCAAAAGCGTTCTCTATGATGAACTAAGAGCGAGTCGGATGTATGCATTCTTACTCTTGTACTATATTGAAAATTGCATGGTCACTGCTCTTCTTAATAAAGAAGCACAATCAATTTATTGAGCCATTTTACTTTATTCAATCAACTCAAGCCAAAAACTAGTGGCCTTTGTTACATTGCAAATGATGGAAAATCTTGTACCATACTCTCACTTTTTTAAAAAAAAATCATTGTACGATAGATAATCTCTTATTCATCTATTTGCCAAATCTACCAAGAATCTAGCCGATGAACTTGCCTTACTTAGAGAGTTCATTGATAGCACAGATTTGAGTGATCTCATTGTTATTAGGGGAAAAGATCAAATAGGCCATCGAACTTACATAAAAAGATCAAGGCTAAAGGGTCAAATAGGCCCTTGAACTGACTTAAAGTGTTCAATTAGCCCCTTATATAAGAGGTTCTGTCCGACCGTCGCTAATTTGGGCAGTTCCCGATGGCATTTTTGATGAAATTTTTTGAGCATCTTCTTCATTAAGTCTAGTTTACCCATACCAAATTTCAGCTATAAATTCAACCGGGAAGACAGTCAATTGATTTTCCGAAATGTACTGAGCTGTTTAACTTCGCAGTTATCTACAAAAAATCATTTGACTGCCTTCCCGGTTGATTGTTTAGCTGAAATTTGGTATGAGTAAACTAGACTTAATAAAGAAGATGGTCAAAAAAATTTATTAAAAAATTCCACCGAGAACCGCACCAATTGGCGACGGCCGGGCAAAACCTCCTATATAAGGGGCTAATTGAACACTTTAAGTCAGTTCAAGGGCCTATTTGACCCTTTAGCCAAAGATCAAATAAGTCTTTATATAGGAGGCTTTGTCCGGCCGTCGCCATTTGGGACGGTTCCCGGTGGAATTTTTTGATGAAATTGTTTGAGCCATCTTATTTATTAAGTCTAGTTTACTCATATCAAATTTCGGCTAGCAATTCATTCGAAAAGGCTTTCAAATGAATTTTTGAAGATAGTTGCGCTTTTAACTGCGCAGTTATCTTCAAGAATTCATTTGAATACCTTCCCGATTGAAGTTTTAGCTGAAATTTGGTATAAATTTGGTATGAGTAAACTAGACTTAATGAATAAGATGCTCAAAAAATTTCATTAAAAAAATCCATCGGGAACCGCCCCAAATGATGACGGCCGGATAGAGCCTCCTATATAAGGGCTTATTTTACCTTTTTATGTAAGTTCGAGGGCTATCTGACCCTTTTTCCTTGTTATTATAGTGCAAATATCGTACAACATGAGGTGTTCAGGGGCGGGGGCCCTCCCACTTTTTTTATTTTTTTTAAAAATGTTACTATTACAAAATTTTTAGCCCCCCTCCCCTCAAATAAAAAATTACAAGAAAATTAGGCAAACTTTAAGTCTCTACATTTTGAAATTTTATATTTGGAATATTTGCAATTTTAGTGCTGTAATTTTTCATCGAAAGTACACTTTTTGGTCAAAAATCGACACTGTCGGCATAATTTACGGTGAATTATCGGTAGGAAAATGTACTTTCCGGTTGGGAAGTACTTAGATTGCAAAAAAATATTACTCACATGACCAAATTTGTGAGCAAGTGAACTATCGAGACTAAAAACGAGCACGTAGTAAATATATGGGATCAAAATTGCAAATTTTAATTTATATTTTAATACTTGTATTACACTCCTCTGTGTAGTGAAGTCTGGCTCTGCCCCTGGAGGTGTTCACTCCTCATTATTATTAATGTTGTAGCACCTCGTCCTCAAGGTGGTTGCGGTTGGTCGACTTGGTCATCTTCCTTTTCAAGCTTGATCGAATGGTGGTAGTGGAGGCTTTTCTCAACTGGGCACCCAAGACACTCTCTTGGGTATTGTCATTGGGGCATAACTCACATGGTGGAAAGAGATTGCCACAAATGAAAAGTCCAGTGCTCAATTCCATACATACATGCAGTTGTCTGCCTGATTCTAAAGGTCTTTAGGGATGGAGTGTTATTCTCTTTTTAGTATTGTCAAACTTCTAACAGGTAGGTTCACGTGGTGAAATTTAAGCCTCATCGCTGCTCCACTTTCCCAACAACTTCCTCCATTGCCAAACACAAATCGACTAATGAATCGACCAAAGTTGAACTTATCAAATTCAAAACTGACTAATACCGATCCAACCTTCTGTGGTGTACTTTGTTATTTAAGGTTTAGACCCTAAAGTAACCTAAGTTAATTACCCACACAACAAAAACCACTCATAGGGAACATATATAAATCCATCAAATGTAGCCAAACTGAAATCGACCTAAGTTATGTTGTTTGGTTTTTTATTTTTCATATCTAAAACTAAATCGTCCTAACATGAACATATCAAACTGAACCCAATCTAAACTAAATTGACAAACACCGCTAGCATGCACAACCTTCCCAAATCTAAACTAGGGATGATTCGTCCTAATACCATCTATACACTAAGTTTTAAACCATTTATTCAGGGTTGGAGAAAAAGGTCATAGAAAGTGGAGGTAGCGACTAGAGTACATCTCACTTGCATGCACCAAGTTTTCAAGATGGCACCTTTTGGCCATCCTTCAAATATTCATACACCACCCTCTTTGAACAAAACCTTCATCATATCCTTAAAACATGTCGCAACCTTCTGTATCACACATCAATGCCTATTACCTTATTACCTTATGTGTATTGATATGATTGATCTTAGGAACTACTCACTTATGTTTGTACATATAAATCATCTAACCTCTAAAACTCCACCCATGAAACCCACATTTACTTATAGATGTGTCTTGGACTTCCTACCAAATTTGTTGTCTCTAGACATGTTAATTTTTTTTTAGCTTTACCGCTTCCCCTTTCTCATCCTGACCTAGACCCACTTTCGAACCCCAACCATCTAATGTCTCCCATACCTGGTTCATTTGTGCTTCCATCATCTTGTCTTGCAATGGCTAGTTCAATTCCTTCACATCTTCCATACGTGATTTATTTTTGTTCCCCATTATAGAAAAGTGTTGAGATAGAAAGTTTGTGTATGCTGTTTTTTTTATAAGAGACAACTTCTTTCTCTTTTATAGGATAAGAAATACACCTTCCCATACAAAAAAGGATCCTATTCTTGTTGATAAAGTTTGAATAAAAACAAATTAATTACTATTGACAAATATACATAGAACCAATTTAGCAAACTAAATCCCTTAATTAATGAGGATTTTGAGCCTTGAAATCCTCCTGATATACTTCAATACTCCCCCTCAAGCTTGGAGCGAAGATGTTGATGAGACCAAGCTTGTTAAGCAGAAATTCAAGATTGTTTTCAAACAATCATCTAGTAAGAAGATCAACAAATTGTTCTGAAGTTGGAACATACTCAAGTTGAATAATCTTCTTATCAGATTTCTCTTTGATAAAAGTCAGTCTACTTCAACATGTTTTGTTCTGTTACGATGATTAGAGTTTTGAGTGACGGGAATAGTGGACTTGATATAACAATAAAGTAACATTGGTTCTTCAAGTGTAATCTCTATCTCGGTTAACACCCTTCTTATCCAAATTAGTTCATACACACCATGAGTCATTGCTTTGTACTCAGCCTCAGTGCTACTTTTAGTAACACATGACTATTTAATTACTTACTTTGCCATGTCACCAGATTACCCCATACTATAAAATATCATCACGTTGACTTTCGATCGTCAAAGGGTTTGGCCCAATCTACACTAGTATAAGCCACAACTCTATTATCATCATCATCATGTTTCTCAATGAACCATCCATTCCCTAAAGTACTTTTTAGGTACCTTAGAATTCTGTAGACAACAAAAATATGACCACGACAAGGAGCGTGCATGTATTGGCTCACAAGACATACAGTAAAAGCTATGTCAAGAGTTGTGTGTGAGAGAGGTATTAACCTTTCTTTCCAACTAACCATTGATAGTTTTCTGTGTTAACAAGTCTGCCTTCAAGTTCTATAGGAGTTTTATTAGGCTTCTTGGACATGTATTCGTACCAAAACATAACTAGTCAATGTGTACAAGTAATTGGACAAGAGTCGCTATAATATAGTAAATGATGAGTCACGTAGAACTACTAATTGAATGTCACTTTTTTGGAAATTTAAAATAAATATTTTTTGTCTTTTGAATTCAATTTAATATATTAATGGGAAAAGGCCTATATTAATTTGAGTGGAATACTTTCTATATTGTATGAGTTGGAATTAGTATTCCTTGCGACTTGCGAGAGTTGTGACGCCAAATAAATCACATTGAAAAATTCAGGATTCTCGAAAAAAAACTTCGTGCTTATTATTATTATTGTTGTTGTTATTATTATTATTATTACTCCTTCTGTCCTTAACTAAATGTCCTTTTAGGCTTGGACACAAGTTTTAAGAGAAAAATAATAGGGTAAGCATAGAGTGTGTAAGATTTTGATAAAGTAGGAAAGAGAGTATATTTTTTTTGTAACCTGACAGAGAGTATATTAAAAAAGAGTAAAATAGTGATGAAGTACGAAAGAGGGTATATTAAGAAGAGTAAAGTGATAATAAAGTAGGAAAAAGAAAGTAATTTATAAAAAGTAAAAGTAATAAAAGTGGAGGTATTTTATCAAAATCATTCATAAAATAGAAAGGACGTTTAATAAAAAATAAATGAAAATAGAATAAGAGACGGTTATTAAAGAACAGGAGTATTATTATTTCTTATTATCATTACTATTATTAGCTATTATAAATCCCAATTGAATATCTCTGCCATGAGATCATTTTAGTATCATGTTTGTCTCAAATCAAGATAAAAGAGGTGTTGCGATAGACGTGCGATAACCAATAGTATCACTTAGTCACATCGCATATTCGCATCACATAAATTGTGGTTGAACGAAAACAAGTACGTGCCAGAGAGGCAGAGATAAAAGCAAAAAATTGACAAATGTTTGTGCAAAATTAAATTAAATCAAGACATAGACTAATTAGGATATTGAAATTGAACAATTTAAATATAATAAATGATGGCTTGGACCAATCATATGCATCATAGTTACGTTACTCTATTTTTTAGAGGTATCCTATTACTCGCCAAAAACCATAATGTAACAAAACTTGACATTTAAAAATTCAGAGAGAGCGGCTCAATTCTACTGCTGAGATTCAGCTTCCTTCTTCTCAACTAATCTGATAAAATTCTGAACTATGGTTTTCCCTTCATTGGTTATGATGCTTTCAGGATGAAATTGCACCCCCTGGCGTTTCAACCAATTGACAAAATAAACAAAAGAAAAAACAGTTAGGCCAAATGAAAACAGCAACAATCTCAATTCTCAACAACAAAAACGACAAAGAACATCAATGGCATATTTTTTCATTTAATAAAAAATAGGAAAAATTGACAAAAATAATCCCACCTTTCGTTGGTCTTCTCATAATAATCCCACCTTTAGGTAATCCCAGAATAATCTCACCTTTGCACTCCATCTTCTTTCATTGGACCCTGACCACGTTTTTAGTCTTTTTTTGAAAATCATATAAATAATCTCACCTTTCACTTTTCTATTATATCTTTATAAATGTGAGATTATTTATATAAGATTTTCAAAGAAAGGTAAAAAATTTGGTCAGGGTCCAATGAAAGAAGATAAGGTGCAAAGGTGGAATTATTTGGGATTATGTAAAGGTAGGATTATTATGAGAAGACCAATGAAAGGTGAGATTATTCTTGTCAATTTTTCCAAAAAAATATTGCATTTAATGGATAATGGTTCAAAAAATAGAAGATGTACAAATGGGAATTGAACACCTACGTTATTGTTTCGAGAAATAAGAGCCTACAGTTATGTTCTGTATTCTTCAAGGTTAAACCAAGCATTTAAAAAGCGAAAAAACTATAATAATTATCCCCGTTGCCTACTATTTTCCTCATTGCAAACATGGTGTAAGATTTTTTCCTAATTCTAATACAAGAAGAAAACTAGGAAAGGAGGCCTACAATACGTTCTAATAGAAATTACTTCAAATAGGACTAAAACTATGACAAAAACTCAAAATAGGACTTGCTATGTTTTTTTTTCAAAATAGGACCATAGTGATCCTATTGGAAACATACTCATTTCTTCCTTCCATTCTTACCCCTCCTTTAAATATTAGTAAAAGATAGCTAAAAGTCATAAATAAATGTTTAATTCATAATAAATTCGAAAAAAATTCAATAATTCGTAGAAAAATAATAAAAAAATTAATAAAATTTTTATAAAATAAAAAATAAGAAAAAAAAAATTAATTTTTTTTTTAAAAAAAATTAATAAAAAATAGTAAAACTCCATAAAAAAATGAAAAAAAATATGGATACGTTTCCCACCGCCTGTACTACCTCCCTGAACCACCACCTCCGATCGGTGTAAAAAATGCCACTTTTTTTTTAAATTCCACAAAAATGGCATATTTCTCTATGAGAATGCCAACATTTTCATTCTGCCAACTTGAATCCTTTTGACTTTTGCCAAAAATATGGCATTCATAATTTTTTTGGCATTTTTTTACCCCGGTGACAGGAGGTGGTGGTACCGCCTCCCTGCACCACCACCTCCGACCGTTAAAAAAAATGTCATATTTCCTACAAACTTCCATTTTTTTCGGAAAATGCCAAAAATATGGCATATTTCTCTTTGAGAATGCCAACATTTTTTTTCTTCCATCTTAAATCATTCTGAATTATGCCAAAAATATGGAATTCATAATAAATTTGGCATTTTTTCCCCAAATGATTAGAGGTGGTGGTGCTGGGGCGGTATAGGCGGCGGTGACAAAAAAAATATTTTTTTGATTTTTTTTTAATTTTTTTTAATTTTTTTTATTTTTTATTTTTTTTTTTTAATTTTTTTTTTTAAATTTATTATTATTCAGAATATTTTTATTAATTTTTTGGTATATTTTACGAATTTTTATTATTTTTTATTATTTTATTATGAATTAAAACATTCCAATAGGTATAAGGGTATATTTGTCCAAGACAAACATAATTAGTCCTATGGAAACATAGTTTATTTTTTGGTCCTATTTGTGCAAAGTGAATGACTTTTAGTCCTATTTTGATAATTAACTCTACGTTCTAAAAAACGCAAAGGTTCAACATCATCATATCTGTTTTAGGATGTTTTTCTTTGGGCTGAATTTTTTTGGTCTGTTCTGGTCCAATTTGGTTTGATAAATGTCTAGTATCTGTGTATTTTACAACAGTTGAAGTCTAGTCTAATCTGGAACAGAAATAAGTATCCTTAAAGCCCCATGCCGTCCAATTGCATGAATCATCATTATTAATTATAGTAAAGCAAGGCAGAGTGTGCAAATTGACATCATTATGTCCATGATATCAGTTGACTTTTGGTTCTTAATGACATATGCTGAAATAGTTGGATATTGGGGACCATAAAAACATGAATGCCAGGTGTGATAACCATTAGTCCATTTATGGGTTTACTCGTAAGTACTTTTCATTTAAGCACTTAGTGCTTTTCTGATAAAAGATACTAATACGAATTCTTTACTTTCTGGATAAACTGATTAATATCAATTCTCAACAACTAAAAGGCTGCTAGAAGTCTACAACAACACATAATATAACCTATATATGTATAGCACAATTACGTAACTCATTACAGCACTTCAAAAAAACAGGAAATGGATTATTCATAGATGTGTCTTCCATTTGAAATGGAGTCAAATACTCACTATTTTTAGGCTTGGGAATATGATGGAATAAAGCAAAATGGCTCACTAAACTATCTGCGTTTCTTTGTTATGAAGCAACAGTCAGTCCATGAAATTTTCGACGCGATTTTCACTATGGATCATCCGGAAACAGTCTGTCTGTGCTAAAGCATAGGGGTAAGACTGCGTACATCCGACCCCTCCTTACCCCACCATAAGTGGGAGCCTTTGCGGCACTGGTGTGATGATGATGATGATGGATTATTCATAGATGTGGGTAAAATGACAGGTTCAAACATTGAGTAACGAGACCTCAAACTGGTACGGACGTGGGTGGAAGATGAAAAAAAAAAAGAACGAAAAGTATGATAATTGGAAAAATAGCACAGCTTCCTGCCCTAGGCAATGAAGTGTCCACCGTTTCCACCGAGTGCACAAAGAATTATTTCTCCAAAAGATTAATAAACTTATAAATGAATATGGCACCTCTATTTATACTAGTCTAAGAGTCTTGGTGGCCTAGTATTACAATACTTCTATTAGGAAATTAATAACTAAAATAGAATATCTATACTAATAGGAAACTACAACTAATAATAACATTAGGAAACTAGCACTAATACTTAAGGAAACTAATAATCATAATGAATAATAATAGTAAAAATAATGATAGTAATAGTATAGTAATAGTAATAATAACAATAGGCTTCTTCGGTCCATATTACAACCATTAGGAATGCACTACAAAATACAAATGCTTCTAATTTTCAAAGCATGTATTGCCTTACGTATAGATGACATAGAAAAACCTCTACGTGCTAATCCCTAGGCAATCCAAAATTTTATTCAATAATAATAATGAAAAAAATAGTCATGGAAAAATTCTAACAGAAAAGAGACATTACCTGCAGGTAACGATACACTTTGTGACGAGCAGCCATTACCAGTCCATCCTCTGTCCATGCTGTTATCTCAAGTTCATCTTTAGGGAAACTATCCTTATCAATCACAAGGCTATGATATCTACCTGCAGTGAATGGGCTGAAAGCAAATACAAAAAAATCACTAATGGGATCAGAGTCAGACCTTTAAATTAAAATAACAAACTAACAAAAGATAAATTATATTTTCAAATGAAAGCAAAATTGAAACAGAAATGAATATTGAAATTCATCAACTTCAAGGTCCAAAAGGTCATATAAACTTTTAAATAATAAAGTTCATCAAGAATTTATCAAAGTGACATTACTAATGGTATCAGAGTCTAGAGTAGGGTAGGGGGTAGCCAGCGGTGGAGACTGCCCGGTCCTATAGAGTGTCCAAAATTAACTCTAGATCTACTAAAGCTTCTGGCTAGTAATAATGTTTTTCTATAACACATGTGTCCTGGACTACAGGTCCGAGTAATCCCACAGGCCCTGGATTTTATGCTCTTGTATTAATGCTACCCCTTACGGCTACAGTCATTCCTCTACTTCTCTGTTGTAAATTTAGATGTGATTCTCATTTGGGTTCAAGAGAGCATCCTGTGATGCATATTATTTGCAAACAACATTGGCATTTGTAGCTGACACGAAGTCATCATTTTCATTTACCCCAGTGCCGCAAAGGCTCCCACCTACGGTGGGGTAAGGGAGGGTCAGATGTACGTAGTCTTACCCCTGTACTAAAGCACAGAGAGACTGTTTCCGTATGACCCGTAGTGAAAATCGCGTCCAAAATTGCATGGACTGACTGCTGCTTCATAACAAAGAAGCGCACACAGCTTAGTGAGCCATTTTGCTTTATTCCATCATATTCTCAAGCCAAAAAATAATGAATCTTTGGCTCCATTGCAAATGATGGAAATTGTAGCTGACACGAAGTGACGAACACAAATTTGGAGTGAGGGCAGTATAGGAATTACGGTGCCTCTTTCGCAGGAAGCACGATGAGAAGGGGGATTTAGCATTGGAAAGCAGATGACATCACAAAAAGAAAATTTCAAGTTTCTGGATACTATCATCCAGAAAGAGGGAGAAACCGAGGACGATGACGAACACCGTATAAATGCAGGTAGATAAAGTGGAGGAACGGAGTTAGGACAAGACTATCCCCTTAAAACTGAATGAATAACTTATATACAATAGCCATCCGACCAGCTGTGATGCATAGTTTGAGTTTTGGAGGATAAAAAAAAGGCACTGGAACAAAAGTTGGATGTAGAAAGTTGCATAAATGAGGATGTAGATTGTAGCGGTGGACATATAGTCGAACAAAGTTGAACAGAATATCGGCTGAAGTCTTCCAGGTTGAGCCAAGAGCCACGTCTATTTCTAGCAAATAAAGGGTAGACCGCAATAGATTGGCAACATCTGCAAGACAGATGTGATATCACGTATGAGGAGAGTGGAGAATGTTTTAGTCAAGGAAGCGAGGAGGAGAGAAAGGCCTCAAAGCATGTGGGATGAGCAGCAGAGGCTTGACTTAGCCTCCTTATTCCTTAACATCTGAAAGAACATGACATTTGATAGGGGTTCCTGGAGAGGCTATATCAGGGTAACGGATTTCTTGTAGGATTTGAGGGCAACTCTTGTTGGCAGGCGGGGGCTCTTTTGGCACTGCAGTTAGGTGTCCGTTGGAGCTCTGCTTATTTTCCTATCTTCTTTCTTAACTACTAGTACTTATTTACTACCTAGTACCTACCTTTCTATATGTCCTTTTCAAAGTTGTTATGTGCTATTTTTATATTTTGTTAATTTGTTCATACTTGAAACGTTTTATATAAGCACCAACTTGTATACTTGCATACCAAAGATGCACCTAGCAATTTTTTATGGACACATACAATGCACACAGACAAAAAAAACTTTGTGGACAAAAAAAAATCTCTATCCTTGCCTGGTGTACAAAATTGGTGTACATAAAGCATTAATCACTACAACTCACCCGTCCTTCATTGTGGATGTCTTTTTTTTACTTCAAAACTTTACAGAAGATTTCAAATTTTCCAACTCTCCTATTTTTGACATCTTTCATAACTTTCTAATTTTTCCTTTGCCGAGCTTCTTCACAGAAACTGCCTATCAACTCCCAGGGATAGAGATAAGGTCTGCGTACAGTCGTACACCTCACCCTCTACTACACCTTACCTCCAAGTAGGACATAATTGGTAGGTTTCTTTCGGTGCATTTTGAGGTGTATAGATCCAGTTTCGAAAAAGCATGCTTACAAGCCAGCATATGAATACAGACTAGCTATTTGTTAGACTGTTGTGGTAATCATAACTCAGCTAGAAGTGTTCTCATCAGCTTATCAACACACTAAAAACCTATTGAAGGATTACAAATCCAGTAGAGTAGTAGATGAATAGCAAATACTCAGTATAACATAGATTACAACCTATAAACTATTCACTACCTGCTATAAAATTATTGAATAAATTCCTAAGAGCTTACTTTGGCAGCCCTGTAAACAAGCCATCTTCTCCACCCTCATTGTAATACACAGGAGAACTTTTCCCATGCATCACACCATACGGAGAACGCACTACTTTTCCTGGTAACAAAGGAAAATAGCAATAAGCACCACATCTTTCGCCTAAAAATTAAAATGCAAACTATGATGGGAGAAATGTAGATGACAGCCAGATGGTGATGGTGAGCAACTTTAGGGTGCTATATGTGGATTTATCATAGAGACATAGATACTGAGATGCCATTAGAAATTGCAAGCAAGATGGTATATATAGCAGTGCAACTTGCCCAAATCTGTTACTAATATCTAATGAAAATCATCTACATACAATATCTAAAGGATTTTTATCAAAACAAGCTTCAACCCTGCATTCCTGACTTCCTGTTTTCGCTACATTACATCTGACTTTCTTCTACATGCTTTTAAATTATGCTCTTTAAGCCACAATTGCATTTCATATGTGCATCCCGTTATAATGGTGAAACATCAAATATTTCAGCTAGCACTATAGCAATAAGATAACCAATTATATTTCCTCAATTTGCTAAAGTCTAAATAGACTTCTGTAGCACTATTGTCTGCATTACCGGGAGTTTGGGCCATTCATTTCACCTCTTTAACATTTTAACCCCACATCTGAGAGAGTGTAACATTTCAGATTAAGAATAATTTTGGATATGTAGCATGTAGCATCAAATTAAGAGAGAATGGTGCATTCCTCCAAAAAATCAACCACTACTTTTTATCTGCCACCTGTACGGCAATACTATTTTCAACTCTGTTATATTTTCAGGTCTCAAGTGCTGCTGCAGGTCAAGGAAGGCAGCAGTGCAGCACACAAGCAGCAATGCCAATACCAGGAAGGGAGCCACAAGTTTTACTTAGATTCAGATTAGGGTTGCTGTATAATCATATCACATTGATACATTATAAGCTTTGTAGCCAATCTATAATAGTTGTTATAAATTCCTTATTAGCCCAGCATTCCTCTTGGTATATGGATTCCATAAAAGGTTCATATTAGTTCATTTGTTTCCTAGTTGGAATTGTTATGCTCCCTGTATGGTAGCATAAGTTTTATCTGAGGACCCCTGGGACTTCATGCACACCCTGCATACCTTGTTCTATCTAAACTCTTACCTCTTCTTAATAAGAATGTTACCTTTAACCTTAACATGTGCCTCATTGCCGGCGTCATGGGTGATAAGCCAACAGACTTCTCACCAACGCAATCCTGATATACAAAACTTGAGTTCATGGCCTTCACTGGGAGGAAAGACCCTTTAATCTGGCTCCAACATTATGATCTTTATTTTCGAACACCCATACACCACATCAACAAGATTGGATTGGTGACCTTTTACTATGATAGTATGATGGGCTAAGCTCGATTCTAGCATTATTGTTTTTCATGGCAAACTGCAATTAATGGAGATGAATCACACTTGTCCTCACATGAGGCAGCCTTCTCTGTGGCTTTGTAATCACGCCGTATCCGTCACAACACCTCAGCGACAGCCGCAAAAAACAGCCGCTCCAAGACAACCACCCATTTGCTGCTCATCCCCCAGCCAAACAGCAAGCTTTCAGACCGTTTATGTTTCAATTGTGAATACATTTGGTTTCAGCCTTTCAGAAACACTGAAACAAGCACAGGCCAACTCAATTGTGTCACTTGTATCAGAACATGACCCCAATTCCGGAGCATGTGAGCAAGTACCAACCAAGCAGAAAGGAGGTCCATTTATGGTGGATTCATTAGTCATGACACTCATCACATCATCCTTGGAGTAAAACGGCCTAGTACACTACTAAACTGGGATCAATCGAGTGGAATGTCAGTCCTAGGGAATGCAGTTCAAACTCCATGCAGAGCAGCCCCTGGCATTTTCACTCCATTGCTACTGTCTCTCTAATCATGAGTCCTTGAGTGTAAACTGGGAGAGTTTGATTGAGTTTCTTAGGCAGATTTAACGCTACTCCGGTTGTGATTTTGTGATCACCACATTGTCCTCATAGAAGCACCAAATCAATAGTTGTTTGGCCGTATTAGTACCCCTCAATTATTGCAAGATGAGATCAAAACTCGCTGCAAGGGCATGCTTAACAATAGCACTATTCAGCATAGCCGTTCACCCTTATTGTCTCGGTAATGTTGGTAGCAAGACTCACAAAAAACAAAGGCACGTAGAGTTTTGGTAGAATATCAAGAACTCAACGCCCACGGCATCAAAGATAAATTCTCAATTTGGGTCATTAATTAACTTTTGGCTGAATTACAGGGCACCATTTTTCATTTACCAAACTCAATCTACACTCCACGTACCACCAAATTTGGATGCACCCAGGCAACATGCCAAAACAAGATTGCATGTAAGGGTCAGTTCACCACTTCTTTGCTTCTTCCATATTAGAATTGTGTTGGCTTGGCAAGTTGATTAGTGACACATTCTTTCCCAGCACAGAGGCACAAACAAATTGAACTCCACTTTTCCCTTCACTAGGCAATGGTCAGGGCTCTTGATCCAGACTGCTAAATTCATATAAATAATAGATGCAGTTCTGAATGCCACGATACGGCATGAATGTGGGGGTCAAACTTGTGAAAATAACACAAATATTTCATATTTACAAAAAAATGTGGATGAATTTGGGAGAAGTGCAATCATCTATGATAAAATATACAGTTGCAAATTACCAAATTAATAAATCAAATGTTTGATCACATCAAGATGCCAGCAACTTGGGTAAGAGTAAATATAATTTACATAAAAGCTCACCTCCAAAAGCCTCTCCTATGCATTGCAGCCCCATGCAGACACCAAATAATGGAACAATAGGTCCCAATTCCAGTACAGTTTGTAATGATATTCCTGAATCTTTCGGAGCTCCTGTGATTGTTACAATTGGGGGAAGAAAACATCAATTTCTGCTGGAATAATAAAGAAACGTGAAAATAACTAGAGAATCAAAGGACTGTTGCACATTCTCCTCAGCATCCTTACCTGGGCCTGGTGAAATGACAATTCCCCTTGGATTTTTCCTGAAAAGATTTAAACGTAATGATGTCATATATTTACCTACTAGAAGGAACACAGGTCTATTTCTCTGATTTTAGTTTCATTTAAAATTCAAATAAACATAATTAATATCACCATTGCAGTAAGCCAGTAATTTTGTCTTTAACTTTACATTACATTCAAATTGTGAAATTTTGAATGCCACATACTTTAGTCTGGAACACTCATGACCCTTACCTTCCAGCATGAATACAAAGTGGAAGAAGCCAATATTCCTCACTTTACCTTTTGAGTGGCTTTTGATGATTAGAAAATAAACAAACGACTATTCATCAAATTAAATTAACACACAATAACAGAAAGCAGATTCATTTTCAATGGGTCAGCCCAGCACATATAAGGCTTCTGTAAAAAGTTTCATTATGTGATTATCTGGTCCAAAGAGCTACTACATTAAAATATCATACATAGCATCAAATTCCAACACTTCTAGGAGTATAAAAATGACTCCCAGTTTCACTTACTTCTTCAGTTCATCCACCGTGAGATCGTCATTCCTATAAACCTCGAAGCTGCATCCCAGCTCTCCCATATACTTCAAACAACAGCAAAGCAAAGCTAATTAAAGAAAGAACATAATCGTAAAAAGTAACTTTCAAAAGAGACTGACTTGGCATAAGTTGTAAGTGAAGCTATCATAATTGTCGATAACGATGATTGAACTTTTTTCTTGCTTAGCCCTTTCTGAGGAAGCTCCAACTGATAGCACGGAAGAATGCTGCGAAAAAGCCACAGTAGTAAAGCTCCTCTTGATCCCAAATCCAGCAACGGATGGTCTGTAATTAGGAAATGCCAGGGTTTTGGGCGTCTGTAAACCTGAAAGGGAAATTTTGGTTTTAAAGTGGAAGGTGGAAGATTGGGCGGCTGGGGGCGGTACAACGGCGGCCATGGCGGATAAAGGGTACGACTTCGCCCTTCTTCGGGTTGCTGGAAGTTGGAGACAGTTACTTCTGACAGTCGGCAAGGGTGGGCGGTGGGGCTCATAGCCAGCATGATTTTAAATTAAATACTATCGTACTACCGGAGTATAAAAGGAAATGTGCAAATTTACCGCGTATATGCAAAAGTAAATGGGAAAGTTACTGAGTGTTTTTAAAATTTTTAAAATAGGACTATCGTGTTTTGTATTCCCAAAGTAGGAGTAATTATTATCAAGTTTAGAAAATATTACCATGTTTGAAATCCGGGTACTGCCAAAATATGACAGTAATTAGTCCTATTTTGAGAATAAAAACATGGCAGTCTTATTTTGGAAGTTTCAAACATTTTTAGTCCTATTTCGGGTAATATTCTCAAAGGAAATAGTCCTAAATACTACTCCGTATCATAGTAAATACTTGTATATACTTTTGAGTTTTGAAAAAAAAAACGTTTAATATTCTTACAAATGAACAAATTTACTTTTACTAACTTTAAATAAAGTTATTAAAAAAATAATAACAATAAATTTAAATTTTTAAATGTACTCATAGGCAGCATGACTTTAAATTAAATACCATGGAGTATAAAAGGAAATGTGCAAATTTAAAGTTGGAAATGCATATATACTCTTGAATTTTTAAAAGAAATAAAAAATATGTTTAATGTTCTCATAAATGAGAAAATTTGATTTTATTAACTTTAAATAAATTTAATATATGTATATATATATATATATATTTAAATTTTGAAATTGAAAAAAAGTAAAAATAAAGATTTATTTTATGTTAAAATATTAACTAACTCTTTGGTTTTAAATTGCAAAACTGTTAGGGCATGTTTACTAACAGAGATATTTTCTTGTTTTCTACTTCTGTTTTTCGTTCTCCAATTTTCTGTTTTTATTTTTCAGTTTTTCTATCTCCAATTTTCTGTTTCTATTTTTTAGTTTTCCATTTTCAAATTTGAAAACATGTTCATCAATGTTTTCACACAGTTCTCCAATTCCACACCCATACTCCACCACAACCCTTCATACCCACCCATACCTACTCGTAGGGGTCGGGTAGGGAAGTTATGGGTGGGTGTGGGGTAAGGGGTATGGTCGGGGTGGGGTGGTAAGGTCTAGGGGTAGGGGTTGGGTGGGGGTAGTGGGTGGGTTAGGGTCGTATTTAGGATTAAGGGTGGGGTAGTGGGTAGGGTTGGGGTAAGGTAAGGGTATGGTAGGGAGGTTGGGATAGGATGGCGGCAGGGTGGGGTCGGGACCAGGGTGGGGCCGGGGTAGGGAAGGGATAGGGTGGGGGTAGGATGGCGGTAAGGGTAGGGGTAGTGGGTGGGGTTTGGGGTTGGGGTAAGGTAGGGGTAGGGTAGGGAGTTGGGATAGGATGGCGGTAGGGTGGGCCCGGGATCCGGGTGGGGCCAAGGTAGGGGGGGTAGGATGGTGGTACGGGGGTGGGGGTAGGATGGCAGTGGGGTGGGGCCGAGGTAGGAGGCATGTGGTAAGGGGTAAGGTAGGGGTAAGTGGTAATATACGAGGGGTGGGGGTGGGGTAGGGTGGGTCGGGGTGGGGTCGAGGTGGTAGGGGTTGGCGGTAGGGTAGGGCGGATCGAGGTGGGGTCGAGGTGATAGGGGGGTGGCGGTAGGGTAGGGTGGATCGGGGTGGGGCCGAGGTCGGGGCATCTGGTGGGGGGTGGGGTAAGGTCATTATAGGGAAAAATGGGTACGCGGGGTGGGGGTTGGGTGGGTAGGGTAGGGTAGGGGTAAGGGGTAAGGTACGAGGATGGAGGTACCGGAATGGAATTGACATCGGAGCGGTACCGGACTCACCACTAGGTGTAAGTATGCAAATTCATTGCAAAGGCACTGTAGCATCTGCGTTTTCCAAATTTGGAAAACTAGTAAAAGTCACTTCTCCAAATCATTAAAGAAAAGAGAGACATGTTTCATTTTTTCCGTTTTGGAAAACAATTTGGTAAACACGTTTTTCTTTTTTCCTTTCTCCAGTTTTCCAGGAATTTCTTTGGTAAACACGTTTCCTGTTTTCTGTTTTCCAGTTTTCCAGTTTTCTGAAAAACTGGAAAATATTTCTGTTAGTAATCAGGCCCTTAGTTTTTTCTTGTGAATGAAACACTTCAAATTCATAAATATTAACTTTAGTATTTTTGCAAAATTTCATAAACATTGGTACATTTTTTGTAATACCTTTTTTGGTTTTGTTTAAACATGACAACTAATTAGATATAGAGGGAGTAGTATTTAAGTTATAGACTGGTTTTAATCCTTACGTTGATCGGTTTTTAATATAAATTTCTTTTCTTGTAAAAAAAGAAGGGGAATTCTATTAACAGACCCCTTTTTTATATTCAAAGCCACAAAATTTTCAAATTAATTTATTTCCTTCTATACCCTTACTAACCATTTCACCGACTGAAGACCACGACTACCGATTTTGTTGTTCAGATTAAAGCAAGCCATCTACTTCGATGTTGTTCTTCTATTAAGAAGACCGGTCACGTTGTTGTATACTCCCTCCGGCCCGCTAAGAATGTCACATTTTACCTTTTCGGGAAATCCTACTAAGATTGTCTCATACCAAATTTGGTAAAGTTTGTGTGGCTCTAAATCATTCTTACTTTATTCTTACTTTGTCAATTTAATATCAACCACACAAACCTACTTTTCTTAATAATCATGTCACCTTCTTTTGTCCCAATCTTAGTGGGACGGGGGTAGTATTTTATTTTACCTTAAAGACGGGATATTTTACCAATTAGAGCTGGAAGAGAAATTTTAAATTTTACCATAACTCATGCCCATTGTATGTTTGTTAATTTGTTAATGAATACAAGGGGGGAATATATGTGGCCTATTTGTTGAGGCTTCACTTATTGGCAATACTTAAAAATGGGCACAACACATTTTAAGTTTTTAGTTTTAAGGAGGGCCTCACTTTAGAAGAAACAAAGAAGGTAGATATCAAACCTCAGACTATTTTGATTGTGCTTCGAAACCACTTGTCCACTTTCTCCGACAAGGAGACGAGTTGTGATATTGATACAATGATGTGGTGTGTGTGATGCTAGTTGTGAGCGGAAAAGGAGTGCAAGTTTAATGTCGATTTCAACTTTGGTATGCCGAAGTAGTCTGTGAAAGGTTGAAGGCGGTTGTGTAAATGGACATTGAAGGAGCTACGGTGGACAAATAGGTTGACAAAGAAGACCATGGTGAGTTTTATCGGGAGAAAAAAATATAGTTGGACATTTTTTTGTTTTATTTTTTTTATTCAAATGTAGCGAGGGCATTTAGTAAAATTGGGGCCGTGAATAGAAATGCCCAAAAAAGAAATGCACATTTTGGTAATACAATTTTCAATTTGGAAAAGGAAGTGTAGAACAGAACTGCGGTCTGGTTCTAGCGGAAGTTTCCTGCTAGGTTTTTTTCCGGCGGCAATTCTAGGATTGTCTGGCTCGACTTTTTGGCGAGATACTCCGTTCTTTTCTGGTGATTCGAAGGATATGAGTTTAGTAAGTTGGAATTGCATGGGTCTTAGTAACGTAGCCACAGTGCAAGTGTTGAGTGATTTGTCCATAGAGAAGAAGTCGTCAGTGATTTTCTTGGTGGAAACAAAATCGGGGCAGCGACATGTAAACAGAGTGATGGAGAATATGGGCTTTATGAAGGGTTTTATTTGTGGTTGAGAGTGTGGGGAGAAGTGGAGGTTTGGCTCTCTGTTGGAGGGACGAAGCAGATGTGATTATACTTGATGCATCTCAATACTTCATAGACAGTCTAATTTGAATGAAATAAGGCGAACCTCACTGGCTCCTTATTGGTTTTATGGTATTCTTGAACGAAATAGGAGAAAAGAAGCTTGGGTAGTGTTAAGGGATTTGGCGAATTGTTGTGATCATCCATGGATGTTTTTGGGGACTTTAACGACATAATGTTTGATCGTGAAAAGAGAGGTGGATTGCAGCAACTGCTTTGGCATATGCGTGGATTTTGCGAAGCAATTTGGGCTTCCGGTCTACGAGACTTTCATTTCGATGGATACCAATGGACGTGGGAGAGAGGGAGGGGACGACTGCACTAGTAGAAGAAAAGCTGGATATGATTCTGGTTAATGAAGGTCTGCGCTCACAGTTCAGAGGTGCACAGGCAAGGTCTTTGGAGGGGTTTACGAGTGATCATTTGGTGCTAATGATCAACCTTCTTAATTCTCAGCAGGAGCACCAGAAAAGATCCTTTAGGTTTGAAAACTTTTGGACAAGGGAAGAAGAGTGTCACGAATTAATTAAGAAATGTTGGGTATCAAACACTAGCTCAAGTATCCTGCAAAAAAAATGAACATTGCAGTTACGGATTGGATCATTGGGGATGAGATAGAAGAGTGAGATTTGTTGTCCGTATCAGTATTTGCAAAAAACGTTTTTAGGAGTTGTGGTGTAAGCAAGGCATAAGGTTTGAGGCGGAATTTCAAAGAGTCTATATTACTCTAGTTGAGCTCCTGTAGCAACAAAACACTTTTTGGAAGCACTGAGCAAAGAAATTTTGGTTGAAGGGGGTGATATAAATTCAAAAAAGATTCACAATTCTGTCAGGCAAAGGAAGAGAAGGAACCATATGACGGGGTTGAGAGATGAAACGGTAATTGGGTTACTGACAGGGGCAAGTTGAGGCACTTGGTTGGGATTATTTTGAGAATTTTTTCCGGCAACTGTAACTATTCGGGGATTCGAATTGGTGGGAGCTACACGTGTTTCTCCGGCACAAAACAATGCTTTACTACAACCAATTTCTGAACCAGAGGTAAGGAGAGCTGTCTTTGATAAATGGAGGTTGAAATCATATCTCCAGATTGGTACACTGATAGGTGAATTCAAGGTTGTGAGATCCTACCATAGATCTTAGATCTTGTATAAGGGTTTCACGCGTAAGGAGGAGAGGGCGGCTGCAGGGGGTAGCATGGCTGATCTGAATTTTAAGCCTGAGGGTCATGTTGTTCTGTTAACCGGCTACGGTAGAAAACGTCTGACCGATTATTGGGAATATCTGAATTCTCATGGGACCCA